CTGTTCTGTCTTGATTCTGCTCTTTACCGTCTGATTAGCCTTTTTCAGTCTTGATGTGACTTGATGTGTTCTTCCTCTTCCTCAGCCTTCAGTCATATTCTCACAGTAACTTGAATTGTAAATATCACTCTGACAGCTCTCGGCTTGACAGCTCCAACTCATGCTTCTCTATTCAGCTTGTTGCTGTTTCCTGTTGTCTTTTATGTGTGCACCTAGATATCCCACAAACATCTCGAATTCAAAATACCTAATCCAAACCCTCGCTTTCTCTCTATTCTTCTTTTTATTCTCATCTCACTGAGATAACCCAAAACTGAGAGTCATCCTGGACTCCGCTTCCTGCTTCATCCTGTCCAATCGGCTGTTTTTTCCCTTTGAATAAACTCCCACCAGTGTCTCAACTCCACTCCCTCCTTTGCATCCCTGTTGCCAGTGCTCAGGTCCTCTACTCATACTCCATGTCTCCTCCAACTGCCATTTGTTCCTTAGCTGCTTGTTGCCAGTTTATCTTTGCCATGTCATGAATTTCTTGTCCTTGAAATGTTTCAGCGGCTCTCACAGCTTTTAATAAAATGCCAGTTTCATGACATGATGAATAATGAATGTCCTGCATTGTCTAACCTCTGCAGACCTGCTCAGCCACATTCCAGTAAAACTTTGCTCCTCCCCTACATACTGCATGTTTGTTGACCAATTTTTAGTTCCATGGTATGCCCTGCTTTCTTGCTGTGCACTAGGTATCCAGGGGATACAAGGATGGCTGAGATATGGTCCCTGACTCCTTTGGCAGTTCATAATCTATTCCAGAAAGTAATCATATAAAAGATGATTATATTTCAGTCCAGTGGACCCAGTGATGGAGGTGTTCACAGGGCATTATAGGAGCACAGCCATGGTACTTAACCTTACCTGGCTCAGGGGGAAAATACGTCTGTGTTGAGGTGGGGGAAGGCAGTGAGTTTTAAGGAATGAGTATGAGATAACTGTACGAAAAAAAGGGACTAAGGATGAGGCAATTCTAGGAAAAGGATAGTATGAGTAGAAACAGGCAAACATGAGGCAGTATGGATTCTTTGATGCTTAAAGTCAAAACAAGGAGTGACAGATGAAATTACAGAGAAGTGGATAGATCATGACAAGTCTTATATACTCTTAAGAGATTTGAACTTTTTATCTTATGGCTATAGTAAGTCTTTGTAGGGTAGATTCAGGGCAGTGATAAAGTCAGATCTGTATTTTCAGAAGTTAATTTTAGCAGCGCATGGAGGATGTATTTGAGAAAGACAGGAGTGCAGGCATGTATACCTTCTAAAAGGTTGTATTCAACCAGGCAAGAAATGATGCAGGTCTGAACTAAAGTAGTCAATATAAGTAAGAATAGGATGGATTTGAGAAATGTTTCTTTAGAAATTCTGTAGAACCTGCATATTTGTGGGATATAGAAAGTAAAGGGGAAAGAGAAGTCAAAAATTATTTCCAGATTTTTAGGTACAACTGGGTGGGTGGCAGTATCTTTCCCTGAGATCAGAGAAGAATGTTAGGGACATTAAAGTCATAATCTGCTACTGTGCCCAAGGTAGACACTTCACAGGAAGAAACCTTGGCTTTGAATCCACATCTGATTCAAAAGTCAGTGCTGATAACCTTGCTATGCCACATCCTCTGAGCCTAAAGAAAGCTGAGGGAAGTCATACCTCATAACTTGAAGTCTGTTTAACAGAGTAGGAGACAAGAATTCTGTTGTGATAAGAAATAGGGGTTGAGCAGATCAGCTGAGGAAAATATGCTCGTTTAGAATAGTGATTGAGGATAATGGAAGAGGGAAATGACTAAAGATGTAAAAGATCAGATACACCTTACTAAAGGTCAAGGTGAAGCAGGAGACTTTGAATTTGCTTTGTATTAATAATAATGATGATAGAATAGGTAACAATTACAGGAAACTTTCTGTGTTCTTAGCAGTATTTATGTACCTTACATAGTAATGAATTCTCACCACACCCTATGAAGTAAATGCAATCATTCTACAGATGAGGAAACTCAGGCATGAAATAGTTAAGTAACTTGGTCAAGAGCAACAGGTAGGAGTACTGGTAGAGCCCACATTTAAATTTAGGCAAAGCTCTCTCTGCAGCCCGTTCTCTTAGACACTGTGCCTCTCAATATGTAATGATGCCACTATGCCCAAGTGTGTAATTTTTCCATTGATATTCAGCTGAGAATAGAAATGGAGAAGGCAGTTCAGAGGGCTAATCCAAGACTGGCATAAAAAAGAGGTTCCACAGAGATCAGGAGATCAACTATTAGATTTATCCTAAGAATAAAAGAAGCCAAGAGGAGCTGACAGATTGAGTGAACCTAGAGACTAGACGAGTCTAGATGAAAATCAATTTTGATACAGAAGAAGTCCTGAGAGAGTTGGAATTCTCTCCCAAGAGAGAATTTTCATCTTAGGGTAAGATATTAAATTCTTTAATTTCTGAGGCAGAGCAGAAAGTCAGGCAGTCTCATGTCATACTCCTTCTTCTTACATGCTGTACCGCACTGCCTCTTGTAACAGGAAGGAAGTCACAGAGGTAAGCAACAGAAGATTTTAAATAATGTAACTTTTTAAAAATTGCTGAGATGATGGTAAAATGGAAGGAGTATAAGGGAAGAGAACTTTTAGCAAGGCAAGAAGCAGAGGTCGATTTCTTGGTTATAGAAGTAACCTTTAGGAGAACAAAAATAAAAGTTGTTCTGAAAAGTAGACCCCTCTGAGGAAGGGGCTGGGGCTTTTCATTGTCAGCCCATCTGTACTGTTGTGCATGTATAGTTTTTACTTGGGAAAAAAGCAAAGTGAATATGGATTGTGGAAGCTGTGCCAAAATGGAAACCTGAACTTCCACTCATCTAAAATACTGTAACAACATTAGAGGTGGTGTAATCTCTGATAATTATAAGGAAGATTACCACCCAGGGATCAGAACTACTGAGGGATCTCTGACAGGTAGAAAGCAAATGGAACTTTGGGTCAAGATATTGTAGGTTAAAGCTTCAAACTATCCCTCTACTCTGAAATGATGGGGATTATAGGACACATATGTATGTGTTTATAATTGTGTCTGTGTGTATAAATACACATAAGCACACACACACATTGAGTGAGAGAACAGAAGAGAAAGAGAAGAGAAAGAAGGAATGAGGAAGAGGAGGGAAGGGCATGCATAGTTGCTCAAAAACAAGATTTCCAAGAGGAAAAAAAAAAAACCAATACACCAGCTATTATGGGAGCTCCAAGCTTAAAAATAGCCAGAGGTTGGGAGAAGTTGTATGTTTTCAAAATAAAAGGAACCAAAAGCTTCCCAATTGAACCCACTTGTGAAAAGAGAGTAGAAAAAATGCCACATATACATATATAATTCATGTCTTCTTTGTGTAATTTATTTTATAAAACAGTAAGAGAAAACTGAGTATTTTCCAGGAAGTGTCCTCCAGAGGGATCAATAGAAATGAATGGAATTAAAAAGTAAAAAAACACAGAGAATAGTCAGAGTATGAGGGTAGGAAATCAGAAAAGGAAATGGAAAATCGTTTCTCTTTGACCAAGGAGTAATTGGTGAGAGGAAGGATTAAAAGAAACTGATCTGAAAAGTCCTGATTTCTGGTGATGTTGTTTTGACATTTGAACTGTTAAAAGGTCGCAGAAGCTATCTGGTTTTATGCCATGAAGTTTATAAAGGAGCAGCAAAAATTCTTTCCTGGACATAGATATGTCATCCTTGGGCTGAAAATTACGTTCATCTTCTTATGAGGTGGTTATTGCCTTTATATTGGTGAAGGAATATGTACAAGCAATGTATCAAATTATTCTTTTCTAGGGACCTTCAGGTGTTGAGGGAGAATCTGGTCTTCAAGGCGAGCCAGGTGCAAAGGTAAGCTTCCTAAATAGTAAAGGAGAGGGCCTCTGGACTTTCATCATAGACTCCCCTATGTTTGCCGTATTTTGGCAAACATGCACCATCATGGAAGCAGGGGAAGGCCAGCAGATAAAAATGGAAAGTGTTTTCAGATGAGTCAGAAAAATATCTGTCAGAAAAAATTTTATTTGTGTTTGTATATTTATATATGGGAGGGAATTAAAATGAAAAAAACAAAATATTATAAATAAATCTGAAGAAAAAGTAAAAATAGGAAGTGTGTTGGAACCCTTGTCTTCGTGTTACACTCTCCATAACTGCAGTTTTAGTAGAAAAGCGTTTAATCTTTCCCTTTGTTTCTTCAGGGAGATGTTGGACCTGCAGGCAGTGCTGGAGTTGCTGGGGAGCCAGGGATCCGGGTAAGTGCCTACTACAAACCATTTTACTGCACCGGCCCACCTATTTTAGAGTCTCAAGACGTAGCCTAAAGACTTCAAAGACTGCAAAATAAACTTTTCTGATGCATTATAGAAAATGTTTGTCTTTATTTCATAATTTCAAAAGCTGCATGCTAAACCCTGATCACATTGTAATTTAATAGCATTGAGAGTCCTAATCTCACACATCTTTTTCTCAGAATCAGGTATACTCTCCAGGATTCTTGCCAAATGTGTGGAGTCACTGTGACTGTCACTAACGTTAGCTTTAAGAAGAAATTCACAAATACTAGTGATCAACTTGCGTAGTATTTCCTGATCTAACAAGATAGACAAAAGATTGAAATCTAATTTGTGTTTAAAAACAACGAAAAACTAGAGTCATGCAGAGTTAACAAGATTCAAGGAAATAAGCAATGAGATAGCTTACAGGAGTTATTCTAATATAGACAGCCATTAATTTAAACTGTGGTAAGTTTTTTTCCCAAGATAACAGTGCCCAAGATAATTTTAAGAGACGTTTACCGAAAGGTAAAGTTGGGAGATACATTTTGCAACTGATTTCTTTTTCGTTCATTTTCCTTTTTTTTTTTTTTCCAGGAGGGGGTGCAGTGTGAGGTCAGGGTATTGGCAGCGTCAGTGGTGGGAGCACTGGGGCAACTGTGAAGACACACTGACTATTTACTTTCAAACAGTTCAGGTTGGCAAGAGGGCCAGTGCTTCTCGAATAGCTTCATAAAGTGCAGCTCTGCATTTCTGCAAGTTCTGTGTCTAGAAGACGGTTTTCTGATGTACTAGGGCCTTAATAGTTGCATCTCCTCTGTAAGGGAGAAAATACAGACCCTAAAACTCAGGGACACTGGGGTGGGAAGGGATAAATTGGGAGTTCGGGGTATGCAGATACTACTATATATAAAATAGATACACAGGTTTCTTTTGTATAGCAAAGGGAACTGTATTCAGTATCTTGTAATAATCAATAATGAGGAAGAATATGAAAATGAATACATGTATATATATGTACGACTGAAACATGATGCTGTACACCAGAAATTGATGACATTGTAAACTGACTATACTTCAATTTTAAAAAATAAATAACAGAAAATACAAGTTGCTCTACAAAAAAAAAATCAGGTACACTGATTTTAACTGAATAAAGGTATATTAATCCATGTAGATTCAGAATAGCAAGATATTATAATTTTATGGGATTCGGTATTTACAGCCTTTGAACTAAGAACCATAGATACAGCTGTATAAATTTCTAAAGCTACCAAATGAATATGTATTATCTTTAATTATCTAAAAATTATTAATATTCTGGGACCATCTTAATATTTGAATTTACAGCACTATGACTCTTTAAACCATCTTCAGAGTTATGCCAGGCAAATTAAATCGTACTTACACTGTCAAATAATCCTTATAAATAAAGTAGAAGTAGGAATAATGTACATAAACCTGCTACTTCTGTAGTTACCAGGGGTGAAAAAATAAGATAAATGATTTAGCAAAATAATACATTATTCTGTTTCTGCTACCAAATAGGGTGAACCAGGAGCTCCTGGGGAAGAAGGTCTGCAAGGGAAAGATGGATTAAAGGTAAATTACACTTTTAAAGTTATAATTAAGGTAGATGTTTTTGGGAAATCTTTAAAATATTACACAATTTTTTTTTAACACCAACGAAAATGTTCTGATCGTGTGGTGTAATTAGTGCACTGCTTCCCCCTTCTTAAAAATGTTTATTGGGTTACAGGGAGACCCAGGAGGAAAGGGACTTCCTGGAGAGGATGGAGAAAAGGGAGAAATGGGCTTACCCGGGACCGCAGGGCCGGTGGGTAGTCCAGGTCTCGTGGGCCCTCCGGTGAGTACTGCTGGGTTCAGTGCTGAAGAACTCGGTCCTCTACACACACACACGCACACACGCACATGCACACATATACACATAGACGTACTCTTGACTCCCCCATATGTGCATTTGGTATTTGAAGGCATGGAACTGTGGCTTGAGTGAGGGACAAGCCAGGGAGTGATTATCAACCTTCCTAACATCCAAGAAAAAAAGACACTTTCCCAGGTGTCACACAAGCTATTGAACGTCTTAGGTTTTTCCCTCTCACTTTATTGAGATGTAATTGACATGATATTGTGTAAGTTTAAGGTGCATGATGTGTTGATCTGATATATGTATGTATTGCTAAATGATTACCGTAATAAGTTTAGTTAACACATCTGTCCCCTCACATAGTTAACCTTTTTGTGTGTGTGATGAGGATTTTTAAGAGTTACTAGCTTAGCAACTTTCAAGGACACAATACAGTATTGTTAACCATAGTCACCATGCCGTACATTAGATCTCCAGAATGTATTCATCTTATAACTGGAAGTTTGTACCCTTTGACCACCATCACCCATTTTCCGCATCTCTCCACCCCTAGCAACCACCAATTTACTCTGTGTTTCTACGAGTTCAGTTTGTTTTTAGATAATACATATTCATGAGATCATATAGTATTTGTCTTTCTCTGACTTATTTCACAAGCATAATGCCTTCAAGGGCCATCCATGTTGTTTCAAATGGTAGACTTTCCTCCTTTTTATGACTGCATAAAATTTCATTGAATATATAAACCATATAAGCATATATATAAAATGACATTTTTTCAAATATTAGTTGGTCACATTTGCATGGCTTTATTTCTGGGCTCTTGATTCTGTTCTCTTGGTCTGTGTGACTGTTTTAATGCCAGTAATGTACAGTTTGGGTTAGTACAGTTTTGAATTAATATAATTTGAAATTAGGAAGTGTGATGCCTCCAGCTCTGTTCTCCTTTCTCAAGATTGTTTTAGCTATTTGGAGTCTTTTATGGTTCCATGAGAATTTTAGGATTGCTTTTTCTATTTCTGTTTAAAATACCATTGGAATCTTAATTGGGATTATATTGAATCTGTAGATGGCTTTGTGTAGCATGGACATTTTAACAATATTAATTTTTCATTTCTGTGAATGTGAAATCTTTTCCCATTTATTTATATTTTCTTCAGTTTCTTTCATCACTGTCTGTAGTTTCCAGTGTACAGATATTTCACCTCCTTGGGTGTTATGTTTATTTCTAAGTATTTTATTGCTTTTGATGACATTGTAAATGGGATGGTTTTCTTTATCTTTTTCAGATAATTTGTCTTACTGTATAGAAATATGACTGGGTCTTGTAGGTTGATTTTGTGTCCTGCAACTTTACTGAAATTATTTATTAATTCTAACAGTTTTGTGGTACATTCTTCAGAGTTTTCTGTATGTTAAGATCATGTCATCTGTAAGTAGAGACAGTTTTACTTCTTCGTTTCTGACTTGGGTGCCTTTTATTTCTCTCTCTTGCCCAGTTGCTCAAGCTAGGACTTCGAGTACTGCGTTGATCAGGAGTACTGAGGGTGGACACCCTTGTCATGTTCTTGATCTTAGAGGAAAAGCTTTCAGCCTTTCATTGTTGAGTATGATGTTAGCAGTGAGTTTTCATATATGGCTTTTATTATGTTGAGGTGCATTCCTTCTGTACCCAGTTTGTTGAGAGTTTTTTATCATGAAGGATTTGAATGTTGTCAAAGCTTTTTCTGCATCTGTTGAGATGACCATACGATTTTTTTCTTTAATTCTGTGACTATGGTACATCATATTGACTGGATTGCTGATTTTGAGTCTTCCTTGCATCTCTGGGATAAAGCCCACTTGGTCATGGTATATGGTCCTTATAATATGCTGTTGGATTCAGTTTGCTAATGTTTTGTTGAGAATGTTTGCATCTATATTTGTCAGGAATTTTGGCTTGTTTTCATTTCTTCTAATATCCTATCTGGCTTGATATCAGAGTGATGCTGGCTTTGTAAACAACTTCAGGTGTATTCCTTCTTCAAAAATTGTGGAGAAGTTTGAGAAAGATTAGTGTTAATTCTTCTTTAAGTGTTTGGTGTACTCCGTCAGTGAAACTGCCCCTGGGCTTTTCTTTGTTGAAAGGATTTTCATTACTGATTCGGTCTCCTTCCTCATTATTGTCTATCCAGATTTTCTGTTCCTTCAAGATTCGGTCTTGGTAGGTAGTAGTTTCTTGGAATTTCTCCATTTCTTCTATGTTTCTAATTTGCTGGCAAATAATTGTGTATAGCAGTCTCTTACAATCATTTGTCTTTCTGTCATATCATGTATGTCTTCTCTTTCATTTCTAAGTTTATTTTAGTCCTCCCTCTCGGTGAATTTAGCTACAGATTTGTCCATTTTGTTTATCATTTTAAAAATCCAGCTCTTAGTTTTGTTGATCTTTTCTACTGTTTCCCTATTTCCTGTTTCACTTATTTCTGTTCTGATCTTTATCCGTTCCTTTCTTCGTCTAAGTTTGGCCTTGTTTTGTTCTTCCACTTCCTTTAAGTACAAAGTAAGGTTGCTTATTTGAGATCGTCCCCTTTTCCTAATGTAGGAATTTATCACTATAAACTTCCCCCTTAGATCTATTCTTGCTGCATCCCGTAAGCCTTGGTATGTTGTGTTTTCATTTTCATTTGTCTCAAGATAGTTTTTTAATTTTCCTTTTGATTTCTTCTTTGATCCATTAGATGTTCAGGAATGTTTTTTAATTTCCACATCTTTGTAAGTTTTACAGCTTTTTTCCTGTTGTTGATTTCTAGTTTCATACTATTGTGGTTGAAAAAGTTTCTTGACTAATTTCTAGCTTCCTGGATTTGTTGATACTTGTGTTGTGGCCTTACTTAGGATCTACCTTTGAAAATGTTCCATGTGGACTTGAGAAGAATGCATATTCTGCTGCTGTTAGATGGAATGTTCTTTCTATGTCTGTTCGTTCTCTTTGGTCTATAGTGTTGTTCAAATCTGCTGTTTCTTTATGGAATCTCTGGATGATGTAGCCATTTTAGAGAGAAGGATATTAAAGTCCCTAACTATTATTGTATTGCTGGTTGTTCCTCCTTTTGTTTATGTTAGTATTTGCTTTATATATTTAGGTACTCCAATGTTTGGTATGTAAATATTTGCAATTATTATATGTTATTAATTAATTGACCCTTTGTCATTATTTAATGACTTTCCTTGTCTCTTGTGACTATTTTCAGTTTAAAATATATTTTGTCTGATATAACTATAGCTCTCTCTGCTTTCTTTTGGTTACCATTTGCTTGAAATATCTTCCCCAGTCTCTTCCCTCTCAGTCTTTGTGTATCCTTAAAGCTTAAATGAAGCTCTTGTAGGTAGCACATAGCTGGGTCTTCTTTTTTTTTTTTTAATCCTTTCAGCCATTCTGTGTCTTTTGATTGGAGAATTTAATCCATTTATAATTAAGGTAATTATTAATAAGTTAGGACTTCCTGTTGCCATTTTGTTCATTATTTGCCTGTTGTTTTATAGACCATTACTTCTGCTTTGGTGCGTCGTCTCTTGCTGCCTTCCTTTGTGATTTTATGACTTTTTGTAGCAGTATGCCTTGAATTCTTCATCATAGTCTTGTGTATCCACTACATGTTTTTCCTTTATGGCTCACATAAAATATATTACAATTGCAATACCCTATTTTAAGGCAATAACAACCTAATTTTGATATATACAGAAACTTTATACTTTTACTTCTTCCTCTCCTCTCACATTTTAGGTTACTGATGTTACAATTTAATCTTTTTATTTTATTTATCCAATAACAAATTATGTACTTATGGTTATTTTTAATGCACTTGTTTTTTGATTTTTTAACTAGGGTTGTAAGTGATTTATGTACCACCATTACAATATTAGGGAATATGGCTTTGAATATTTATTTCCCTTTACCAGGGAGTTTCACACATTTATATGGTTTTACAAATGCATTTAGCTTTTTTTTTTGTAAGACAGGCTTAGTTGTGATGAACTCTTCAGCTTTTGTCTGTTTGGGAAAGTCTTTGTCACTCTTTCATTCCTGAAGAACAGCTTTTCTGAGTACAGTACTCTTGGTTAACAGGGGTCTTTTTTTTCTTTCCATATTTTGGATGTATTAGTCTATCTTCTCTTGGTCTGCAAAACTTCTGCTGAGAAACCTACTTACAGTATTATTGGGGCTCTCTTGTCTGTGATAAGTCACTTTTCTCTTGCTACTTTTAAAATTTTCTCTTGGTTTTTGACTTTTGACAACATAATTGCAATTGTCCCTCAGTGTCCATGGGGAATTGTTTCCAGGACCCCCACGGATACCAAAATCTGCAGATGCTTAAGTCCCTTACATAAAATGGTACAGAATTTGCGTGTAACCTACACACATTCTCCCAAATACTTTAAGCCATCTCTATATTACTTATAATACCTAATACAATGTAAATGCTGTGTAAATAGTTGTAACTACAATTAAACGCTACATAAGCAGTTGTCTGTGCACAGCAAATTGAAGTTTTGCTCTTTGGAACTTTCTGGTGTTTTTTGTTTTAATATTTTTGATCCCTGGTTGGTTGACTCTGCAGATGTAGAACCCACAATTACTGAGGGTTGACTGTATAATGTGTCTCAAAGTAACCCCTTTGGGGTTCAACCTATTTGGGGTCCTTTAGACCTCAAAAATCTGGATATCTAATTCTCTCCACATATTTGGGATTTTTTCAGCTGTTATATCTTTAAATAGTCTTTCTGCCCTTTTCTCCTTTTCTTCTCCTGATGTTTCCCACAGTATTGTTTTATTTGACACTGTCCCACAAGTATCATAGTCTTTTCTTCATTATTTTTCATCTCTTTTTTCTTTTTGCTCCTCAGGATGATTTAAAATGGCTTATCTTTTAAAGAAATAGCCAATAAGTCATTAAACAAACAAACAAACAAAAATGGCTTATCTTTGAGTTTACTGA